TTCAGCCACACCCGTGATCTTCTAGTAGGAAAGATCTACACTTAACCTTCTCGGACAAGGGCGAAAAATTTCGGAGGGCCCGTGTGCAAGTTGCGCACGTTAAAGATCCCTTGGTGGTCTAAAATCGATAAGAGTAGGCTTCGGCCGCCACTTGGGCAAAATTCAAAATTTCCTACCAACTGAAAAGTAATGTTTAATGTGTCCCGCGCGCTCATATAACCTTATGCAGTTGCGAGCGCTGTAAAACACTCATACACACACGAAAAGAGAAAAAGTAAAGAAAAAAAAACAATAAAAAAAACAAAACACCAACCCTCACCTGGAAGGGATTAAAGGAGACGAGAACATGCAGGGGTTTCCCGGTGCCGGCTTGTGGGGGTACTTTGTCTTTGATGGCCGGCAGGTGATACAGGTGGTCTCGGAGGCGCACGAAGGCGTCGCGGGTACTGTCTGTGTGGGCGGAGGACATCTGGGTCAACACGAGGAACGTAGGGAGGACAGACAGGAGGGGTGGCCACGGCTGCATTGTTGGTGGTGGTGGTTGTTGTTGTTGTTGTTGTTGTTGTTGTTGTTGTTGTTGGTGGTGGTGGTGGTGTTGTTGCTGTTGTTGATGTTTGTTGTTGTTGTTGTTGTTGATGTTTGTTGGTGTTGTTGTTGTTGTTGTTGTTGTTGTTGTTTCTGTTGTTGTTGTTGTTGTTGTTGTTGTTGTTTGTTGTAGTTGTCTTTGTTGTTGTTGCCTCTGCTGTTTTGTTGTTGTTGTTGTTGGGGCAGTCGTCGTTGTTTTTGTTGTTGTAGTTGTTGCTGTCGCTGTTGCTGTTGCTGTTGATATTGCTGCCGCTACCGCTGCTGTTTATTTAATGTTGTTGTTGTTGTTTTCGTTGTCGTTGTTAACGTTTTTATTGTTGATGACGATGATGATTACGACGATGGTGATTTTGTTGCTGGCTTTCTTCACGAATTCTCTCTGTGGTCTTACGCCGGAATTAAGTTCAAAGTTATACCTCCGCGTCGGAGTTGTCGAGAAAAATGGGACAGAAGCAGCGGCTGAATTTAGAATGTGAAAACCCTACTGTGGACGGAGAAAAGGAGATTTGTGAGGAAGCTTGGTGAAATCAGGCGCTCGTCAAAATAATCAAAGAGAAGAAACTGATATTTGTCCAAAGGTTTGAGGATTTTTTAATTCGAAGATTCGTTTTATGGCTCAACACTTTTCATACCACTAAAGAACACATTTCTGTGCGGATTATAACTGAAAACATTGATTAAAGGCCCTCGAAAAGAAATTTTTAGTTTCCACGGACTCTCATGGGAACAAAATAACTATTCTTTGGCAGCCATTTTCTCACTAATTTTACCTCTGAAACCAGGTGACCTCGTCCTCATTCATTCACAAATATCTCCAATTATATTCCAGATTAATGGATATTTTTTTCATAAAAAGCAAGACAAATGAACACGTGTTAAGATGATACTATTACTAGTAACGCCACAAGCCCAAAAATTGACGAGAGCCTGATTCCACCACACCACTACACATTATTCTTTACTTCAGCGCAAGACACGCGCGGGGTGGGGAGTTGTCACATGAACTGAGGCAGAATCGCGATGTTCTCATGTCTGTCACGATCTATCACAGAAGAAAATTGGGGTTTGACGGGTGCTCTGGTGTGGTTTGCTCCTTCTTTCTTATCAAACATCTATCATCTCCCCTCCTTCTTTTTTGTGTTTGTTACTACTCTCTTGTAACACCTCTAATCTTCGGTACTTGTGTGACCTTATTCTGTCGCAAGAGCCGTGAAACACTTATTAAAACAAAAAAGTTAACGTTGACGTCCCGCGACGGGGGTTGTAGAAAAAACTGAGACAGAAGCAGCAGCTTCGTTCAGAATATGAAAACCCTCCGTGGACTGGGAAAATCTGAATCAGATATTTTCTTTTCTTCCGCTCAAGACACACGCGAGGAGTTGTCACATGGACTGAGGCAGAATCGTGATGTTCTCATGTCTGTCACGATCTATCACAGGAGTTACCATTATTTCAAACAGAACACCAGTCTTGACGCACTCAGACACGACCAAAATCATAGGATTGCAGTGTGGGAGGTTGGCCGGTGCTCTGGTGCGGTTTGCATCTTCTTTCCCTTCAAACGTCTGTCGTCTTTATCTCTCCTCCTACTTTTTCGTGTTTGTTACTTTCTTGTAACACACACCTCTAATCTTCAGCACATATATGACCTCATTGTATTGCAAGTACCGTTAAACACTTACTAAAGCTGGACAGAAAATGAAAACAGAACCCCAGTCTTGACGCGCTCAGACACGGCCAAAATCATAAGATAGCAGTGCTCATAATAAAGTCAACGTAACTTTAGTAACAGATTATATTATATTCTTTTTGTTTTTGTTACACGTTCATAAACAATAACTTATGCTTTATCAATTGTCTATTCGTTGTGTCCGAATCTGTTTCAATATTTGTCTCTGTCTGAAATAATAAAATATCCGTGTTCAAATAATATTTTCTTGCAGCTTTAGTTACAGACACTCTTAAATCATAAACAGTAATATATGCTTCCTTCACGGTCACGCTGTCGCTTCCAAGCCTGTTGCCAGTTTTCTTTTGTCGGAAATTTATCTTTCCTGAATCAGATTCAAGTTGTCTATCATGTCAGAACACAACAGTACAAACTACTTAAACTGTCCTTCCAAGTATAAGACGCACTACACTTCACACCACTGATATGAGACGAAAACAACATCTAAGAATAGCAAATTAGTTTCTCCATAAATACAATTTAATTTTCCTACAAAATTAGAGAGAAATATCTAGGCGTCTTCAAACGAAAACTGATCCAGATGACAGGCGAATAGTTTGTGTTGTGAGCTGGTGCTGTTGAAAGTCGCGCTGAGAAATGACACAAGTTCCTCTTGGCTGCGGAAAGAATCAAAGACTACTGACTCAGCCAAGTATTTGAAAAAAACCCCAAACAACTCACAGTTTCCTAAACTCCCAGAAAAAACAAACAAGCATGAAAGGATGTTAAAAATACGCTCTCCTTGGAAAAATCTTGCTCTTTGTTTCACGAAATGCAACGTAGTCTGGTGGCCATCCAAAAGCTTTTTTACAATACACCATCTCTTACTTCTTCTTCTCTCCAAAAAATATTCGTTCTTTCACTACAGACATCAATGGTTGTGAGCTGCCTCGCACTCATGGCAAAACATTTATCGATCTTTTCCCCCTCCCCACATTTTCATGCGGTGGGCTAGTGTAGTGAAAATCTATATTATTCCCCCTCGTTGATTGCCATGAATGAGATGATTTTTCTTTTCAAACACGGAAAGTGTATCAAAGGTTGATGTTTTTAAAAATCCACACAATAAATCGTTGCTCTTTGAAGCAGAACCAAAGTTCGAAGAAGAATGTCTCTGAGCAGTGCTGGAAGCGTTGGTAATTGCTCGGGGCAGAGGAACACAAGTGCCCCTCCCTAGGTGCGATAAAAGATCGATTTTGTCGACAATATTTCTGAGCCTCGCCGGTTGCTGAAAGCGTTATTGTGCAGTGCTAATCGAACCTCATCAATCATTTATTGGCGACAACTAACACCAGAATTTCATTGTTTCTCACGTTCGATTTTGTTTGGCACGGTTGTAGTTTTGTTCCTTTTTGTTCCTTTCTTGGTAAAACACTTTCTATCGATCTAATTCACGCTAGATCTATATTTTTTGGGTTTAATTTGTTTTTCCTTTGCTTGCTTAATTAAATATTTGCTGATTTGTATGAGATGAGTCGAATTTCTATAAACAAAATAATGTAGTGTGCATCAATGAAAGGTGGGGGGTAGGGGTGGTTGTGGTGCTGCGATCGAACGTCCATCTCCAATTGTTTGAAGTCTAAAAATCCCTGCGACCTACATCACATAAAATGATATTTTTCTGTTACAGATGAGCACGAGCCGAGATTCCCGAGTGAGTTGTGGCAAATTTCTGAAAGGGTGGCTGGTACTGGGAGACGTGACGTGTACCCCCATGTGGTCAGGTGTTTTAGCAGTTGAGATAACGGTTAATCAGTTGACCTAATTCCGGATAATCATGGTTAGATATTCTAACAGTTAAGAAAAGGGTATGTCTGGTCGTCTTTACCCCCATATGGTCAGGTATTTTAGCGATTGAGATATTGGTTAATCAGTTGACCCAAATCCGGATAATCGTGGTTCGATATTTTAACAGTTGAGGTAACGATAAATCAGTTGACCTTAAGGGGGCTCTCGTGACCTTGAGATTAAGGAGTCCGCCTCTCATTCAAAGGTCCCGGGTTCGAATCCGGGTTGCGATGGAACATTTTCTTCAATAAAATGTTCTCCTTTCACCTCCTTTCCTGCTCTCTAGCAATGTTCTGTCGTCTGCTTTCGTCTCCACTTTCTACCCCCACCCCTTACCTCCTTTGCCCCCACCTCTGGGCTCCTGACTCTTTCTGCAGCCTTTCTACTGCAATTCCTTGGCTCCTTCTTGTTTTTCAGCCACACCCCTGACTTCTGGTAGGAAAGATCTACATTTAGCCTTCTCGGGCAAGGGCGAAAGATCCCGGAGGTCCCGTGTGCATGTTGCGCACGTTAAAGATCCCTTGGTGGTTTAATAACGATAAGAGTAGGCTTCAGCCGCCATCCGGGCAAAATTCAAAATTCCCTACCAACTGAAAATGTTTAAAGAGTCTTGCACGCTCATATGACCTATTGCTAGCGCTGTAGAACACTTCCCAACACAATTTTTAAAAAAAATCCTAAAACCGGGTAATTATGGTCAGATAGATGGATAGATAGATAGATAGATAGATAGATAGATAGATAGATAGATAGATAGATAGATAGATAGATAGATGGATGGATGGATGGATGGATGGATGGATGGATGGATGGATGGATGGATGGATGGATGGATGGATGGATGGATGGATAGATAGATAGATAGATAGACATATGTTAACCAACCCTAAGACGCATGGTGATTAATTAATAAGTGTACTTTTATTTTAAGTGAACTCTCCTAAAAGCGAAGAGTTCCCAGGCCAGCCTTATTCAGTTTCTTCCCTTGGTTCAGGCTGCGTTGGCTGCTTCCTTCTGCAGTTGCTGTGGACCGGAGGGGGGTGGGGTGGAGAAGAGAGAACGTAAGTTGGTGTTTGCAGATGCTGGATTTTTTCTCTTGTACAAGCGTCTATGGAGTGTATGTGTGCGTGTGTGTGTGTGTGTGTGTGTGTGTGTGTGTGTGTGTGTGTGTGTGTGTGTGTGTGTGTTTATGTATGTATATATGTAATAGCAGCTGATATTAATTAGTGCTCAAACACTAACAAACTGACAAGATCTTTTTCTGTCAATGGCCGGGTACCCATTCCCACCCGGGTGAAGTAAGGAAAATTCCCGTGAAGTGCCTTTCTCAAGGACATGACGTCGGGCCCCTGACTGGATTTGAACCCACGACCTTACAGTTGCGAGTCCGAGAGGCTAACCACTAGGCCACCGACGCCACATGTGTCCACACCGTTCTTAAAGAGTTTAATGTATCAATGCTCCTATCTCTTTAGGTTTAGTAGAGATTTTATGGAGCTCGCAACTGCATAAGGTCATATGAGCGTCAGAAGATTAGAGCTGTTACAAGAGAATAGCAAACATAAAAAAGAAGAAGGGGAGATAAGGACGATATATGTTTGATAGGAAAGAAGGAGCAAACCACACCAGAGCACCCGCCAACCACCCACCGGGGCTTTAGAGCTGAACAGGTTCTGACAGAGCGATGGCTGAGCACAAGAAATGACTATGAGATCCACGTTTGGTCGAAATGGAGTAATCGATAATATGAGTGGTGAAATCAGGCGCTCGTCAAAATTAATGAAATCGAAGAAACGGGCATTTTCACGCCAGTTTGGCAATTTTTTATATTAAATTTTTGTTTTCTTTGGTCAACACCTTTTATGTCCATAAGAAAACCCCCAACACATTTCCAAGTGAATCTGACTGAAAAACGTTGATTAAAGGCACAAGATATGCAATTTTTCCAGTTTTCAAGGAGTCTCAAGCTATTGAAGCTACCGAACTTTGGCGGCCATTTTCTCGCTAATTTTACAACTGAAACCAGGCGACCACACCTCTTTAAATGTTAAATAAGTTCTCTTCAAGATAGATGGGTATTTTTTTCATTGAAAGTACGGCAAATGAATAAGCTTCTAGATTATACCAATAACTCCACATGACCCAAAATTGACGAGCGCCTGATTCTACTGCGTCATGACACATATGGCGTGAGTGGCCTAGTGGGAATGGGTACCCGGCCATAGACAGCGAAAGAACTTGTCAGTATGTTAGTGTTTTAGCGCCTGTAAATGGCCGCTTGCACCGTATGCTTCCCAGGAAGTTGAGTTTGTTTCAGAATGCTCTTAGGTCTGCTGGGGTAATAGTATAGATTGTGAAGCACATAGAGCTTGATGTTGAGCGGGGATTTGCGTCATACAAATGCTATATATAATTGTTATTATTATTATCATAATTA